AGGTGACCCAAGATTACAGTCTCTTCTTCCCCACAGCATAAAATGCTGTTGTGTTAAATATTTTTCATTCAGGTATAATTCTTGAAGCATATCAATAGAAGTAAAGAAATGCCCACTGAATTAATGATATTGATACCCTCTGTTTTACATTTGTTTTTCTAACTCTGGGTTCTGTCCGGTGAAGAACAGGAGATGATTTTTGACAAATTTACTATCATTCTGGCAGCAGCAGATTTCCCCAAACTTTAATCTGCATATATGAGAAATCCTCTTTCCTTGGCAATTATATGAATTGAGTTCAGAAATATCCTCTTCCAGATCAGATCTTTAGTTCTCTGTCATAATCGTAGCACATGGCATAGCCACAAAGACCTTTCTCCTTGACTAGAAAATAAAGGTGCTTCTTTTAGAAGCTGGGAAGCATCTGGTGTTGATGCTTGTCCTTGCTGAAAAACTCAAACAAACACTTCAAGTTTTTAAGAAATCCCAAATGCCTTTTACTTACAGAACATTTGGAGGAAAAAGAATTGGCTGCATGAGAAAAGGCCAGGAATTAGGAACTGGGAATTATTCCTTACAAAAAGGACATTGGAGAGGGAAAAAGCACTCACTAGAGGCACTATAATAATTACCTTATAAATGTATGGCTTGGAGGCTTGAAGAACTCATATGGTTGAAATAAAGCATTAGACGTGGATATGATTCCATTGATCAGGTAGTCTCCTGGCTTGTAGAAATTGTCCCTGTGTATTATCACATTCAATGGAGATTCCTTCACTAGCATCTCAGAGGGAAAATGGGACATCAGCAGAAGCAGGAACAGCAGCACTCGAGATACCATGATGGTGTTATTTGTTAGAATTATGTTTCAGGCAAAGACAGCTCTTCCTTGGTCCCTGGTTAATTAAGAGGAAAAACTACTAATAAACAGTATGACTGCACTGAAGAATTTCTCTCCAATGAAGATGGTCCAGCTTGGCATCAAATCTGGAAGCCCCAACCATTAATTTCAGACTGGCCTGGTCCCTGTTTAAATCAATAGCATCTTCTATTCTCAGCAAAGCAGGAGGTAATTATGGATCACAGATGTTCAGGTTTTATATAGGAGGATGTAGCAAATATTTGTCACCATGGTTTCAAAAATGACCTGTGATGATGGTGATGCAATCCCTTAAGCTTTGTTACCATCACCATGGTTTTGAAAATTGGAAGGAGAATTGGGAATCATTGTGGCAACAGAGATGTGCAGATGGAGAAAATATTTTAGTGTGACTCATAGACATCCAGTTTAAGAGTGAAGAGGGGAAGAATTCAGGAAAGTTTGACTGCCCTTTACTTAAGAAACTTATTTTAGATGGTTAAAGGTTGTAATATGTTCAGTATTAAAGGCTGTAATACACTAAATCAGTTGAACTCTTATTAACTATCCAGGGGGAACTCCATCTTGGTATGGATGAGGCCAACTTCCTAAATGCAGGTCAGATACCCCATTAAAGCTACATCCAAGTAGAGATACCATCTGAATCTTTCAGAGGCCCTGTTACAAAATATTCTTCTTTACAAATTGGGGAAGATATAAAGTTATGCTTATGAGGATAAGACTTGATGGAAGTTCCCTGGACATTGTTGTGATGTTTTTGATTATATAGTGTTTTTTTGTTTTATTTTGAGAGTCAGCATCATGTGGCAGAGTTTGACCCATGCAGTTGGTCTCCATTGATCTTCTGAGGCCACAACAATAATGTCTGGAGGCCTGTCTGCGTGTCCTGCACTTCCTACCTTTTTATATCTTTTCCAAGCTCTGCCTTTCATTCAGGTGGCCAGATTGTAATAAAGAGAGGGAAGGTAATTAAGACTGATGGGGTGGAACTACCAGTGGGCCACATAGCAGATATGCAGACCAGCTACAAGTACCTTGGTATCCCATTGACACATGGAAGCCATGATGAGGAGGCAAGGAAGACAGCAACATGCAAGTACCATCAAAGGATAGGACAGGTCCTGAAGAGCCAGCTTAATGGGAAGAACAAGATCCATGCCATCAACACATATGCCCTGCTAGTCAGCAGTTACCCTGCTGTTATGGTGAGCTGGCCAAAGGCAGACATGGAGGTTGCCAATGTGAAGACCCGGAAGCTCCTCACAATGTATGGAGGTTTCCACCCCAAGTCCAACACCCAGAGTCTGTACACCAGCTGCAAAGAGGACGGGCGGGGTCTGGGGAACATCAAAGCCACTGTCCTGGATGAAACCCGGAGTATCCAGGAGTACATCAGTAAGATGGCAC